AAGTATATGAATAAATATTAGTATTTTTAGAGAAAAATGGAAAAGAAATAAAGTTAAACCAATAATTCAATAGTAGCCTTTAATGCATTTTCTGGCAAATTCTAATTATTATACAAATAATTACGCAAAAAATAATACAAGTACACATATGACTAATACAGCTACAACAAATTTATTTACAAGTATAAATTATTTGCATTTTCCTACACATTGTATGAAACATAATTGATCCGTGTAAGAAAAGAACATACTCATAAAACAAAATTGAGGGTGAAGTAACAAAGGTTGTTCCAGGGTGCTTGTAAACCTTTTCTTAAAGAGAATTAAAACAATGTATAGAAAAGTTAAAATCGTTAAAAGATCACTGATATTATCTCCACAGAGTTTCAATTTGGAAGTAATTCTAAACATAGCAGAATTATATTCAGAAACAGACTTAAAGTCTTGGAGCCTAAGATGAGCCCAATCATATCGTGCTTGTGGAAGAGTGACCAACTTTAAGTTGTCATATCGTTACTTTAAACCATTCCACAAAACAAATGGATGTTTCACTGTGAGATATTCAATTTTCAACCCTTTATCAAGGTGATGGCGCAAGAAAATCAAGGCCTTAGCACAGTCTTGTGTAGATGCTTTATCTTTATCTTTAATAGCGTCTCCAAGACCCATTGCATCTAAATGGATTTCAGCATCCAATACCCATGTCATATAGTTCTTGCCCGAAATTTTAAGGGCAACGAACTATCTTTTCGTAATATCAGACATTTTAAAAAAAATACAAATTTGAGAAAAATTATACCTTAATTTTCTCAAAGATCTTCTTGAGATGGTAGAGCCTCGTGCTGATAACGTGTTATAAAATATAATCCAAAATAACAATATAGAACAAACAAAACAAACTAAGAGATATAGATAGAAAGAGAGGAAGATCATCATCATTGAACATACAAAATATGTCATTAAATATGTCATTAAGCATTTGAGATGAAGATCATGGAAGAAGACTAAACATCCACCATAATGTGATATCTATTATAACACTCCCATGGATGTCCAAATAAGTATATTGACATTTGCCAAGTATTTTCCACATGTGAATGGGCAGAATTCCACAGGCCGTGCCAGCAGAGCTCTAGACCCCACAGCATATGGCGTGTGAGAAAGATAATAATTTTCCTACATATCTCACAATACGACTGTCTTATTTCTTCTTCATTAAGGCAAATTGGTTATATATCATCTTGGGGGAGATTATGTTAAAATTAACAATTTACTTCACTCACTGGAGCTTTCAATTCGTTAGGAGCAATGGAGGAGCCACTGTTGACAGGTTAGGCTTTTCCATCATCATTAAAGCTTAAAGCTTGAATCTTTTATGTCAATTTCTATGCCCTTTTCTTGCTTTTCCCCTTTTTATAGCTTAATTGCTTAAAGCTTCAATCTTTATTGTCAATTTCTATACCCTTTTCTTGTTTCTCCCATTTTCTATAGCTTAATTGCTTAAAGCTTGTTTCTTTTCTGTAAAAAAGTTTATACCCTTTTATTGCTTGTCCCATTTTGCATAGCTTCATCGCTTAAAGCTTGAATCTTTTTCTGTCAATATTCATACAATTTTCTTTGCTTTTCCTTTTTGCAAACCTTAATTGCTGAAAACTTTACTCTTTTCTGTTCAATTTTTGTACCCTTTTCTTGCTTTTACCATTTTGCATAGCCTAAATGCCTAAAACTTGAATTTCTGCAAGATTTTTTATACCCTTTTTTTGCTTTTCACATTTTGTAAACCTGCTTTGCTTAAAGCGTGAATCTTGTCTGTGAAATTTTATCATCTTTTCTTGCTTTTCCTTTTTGCATAGCTTAAGTTTGGATTAATGTGACTTTTAAAAATAGGGAAAGCAGCAAGCGAAACAGGTCAAAGAGGGAGTGAGAGATGGAGCTCTTATGAGAATGTGGGAAGGGCGGGCTCTGTGATTCCTACGACTTCTTTGGCCGGATCAGAAGTCAGCGTCGATGAGATTCGGTCTGCTGCTTCTATGTCAGTTCCTTACTCTCCTTCTCTCCATGCCCCCTTGGTCAGCTCTCCCCAATCCCAATCTCAGCCACAATTTTATGGTAAGTTCCCTGCCGACATATTATCTCATACTAGCTTATTTTGTGTTGAGTTTTATATACTCCCTCTAGTTTATTTTAAAGGTGGTGTTTGACGGGGCATTGATTGTAATAAAAACGAAAGACTATTCCAAAAGTACCATTCGAACAAGACTATTGGCACATTCTAAAAGTACCACTCGAACCTGTGGGTTTAAACATGCCAATTGCCATGACGTTTTTGTGGCTATAAGTATAATTCATTAAGGGTTAAATGGGACGTTTAAAGTTGAAGAGTTTTAAATGTAAAATATGTCATTCTTTTTCGAATAAACTAAGAAAGAAAGAGTGACATATACAAAATGAGATAAGATCGATTGCTGAGAACAAAAGGTCCTTAATCTTTGCCTTAGTTTGTGTTGTTACCATTTTAGTCCATTTGCTTGGTTTGATTACAATGTACAAGTACAACTATTTTTAATTGTTTTCTAGCTTTGGGGCTTTTCAGTTTATTGAATGTTGATGAAGGGCGTAATAGACCTACCTTTAGCTTTGAGTTACGAGCTTCTCATAATGGTATTACAAGATGGAGCTAAATGCATCTTCTCTAATGTGGCTTGAGAACCTACTTTTTTCCCTCTATTCTTCTTTATTAACCCGTTCGCTATATGGTGTTGCTTCTTTATTCATGGTTGGCAGTTGGATAATACCACAAATCTCTGGTTTTATCACTTGCATTAAGTTTCAATACCGTGTCTTTTATGAATTATCTGTCATTAAATACATTACAGCTATCTGGCAAAATTTTTACTGCCTGATTTTGGTGGATGATATGATGGTCATGCCTTACGACCAGGGGTGGAGGTAGTGTGGTAGCTATGGGTTCGGTCGAACCCAGTAGCTTTTGTTTAAACTCTGTATTTGTATTGAAAAAATTATTAAATATATAAAAATATTTAATTGCGAACCCAGTAACTAAAACGAGTTCTTTCCAGTTCTTTCTTTTTACATGCTTGTTAGTAAGCGAGACTTTTTATTTGCCTCAATAGGATTAGTAAGGTAAGGTTTAGCCCGGTTTGTGTTGCCTTGGTCCTATGCCTTTGGAAAATATCCACACGGTTATGAGATTATATGCCCTCGTGAGACGTTGCCGACAGCTACACCATGAATCCTCTACATGAGGCTGTCATCATAAGGCAGTGTGAGGCGCAGAGGAGTGATTATATAGCCAAGGCATATGGGTAACAATACCGGTGCTATTGTCCCCCTTATTTGTACTTTTCCTATTTGTTGTATTTTTCTGTTTTTTTATTAATAAAAAACTTAGCCCTAGGCGCTTGCCTAGCGGATTGCCAAAAAAAAAAAAGACGAGTTAGGGTTCGATGATGAGATTAGAACCCATAACCTTAAAATCCTGGCTCCGCCTCTCCTTACGACTAAGGAGAATGTTTATGCCCTTTTTGTTTTTCCTTGGTAAAATTCACAACTGTGATTAGGTCACTTGCGCTAAGGTACAAGTGCTTTTTTCCCCTAGAGTATGCGTATGACTTCCCTGCAGTTTCATCACTATGTCTTATTTGTGAATATTGCGTTTTGAGAATAAATTATTTTCTCTTTTGTAGCAGAGCAAGGGATTGTTTATCAGGGTGGGTACTATGGAGCTGCAGGTGAAACTGCCAGTGATGCAAGGAGGTAATTACACAGCATTCTTCCCAACACAGGTCTTGCCTCGATTACATGGTATTATTAAGTATTTGAAAATAGTGCAACCGTAATGGTAATGATCTCAAATACTTAATAAATATGGGTTCCTTAGTTGCACTATTTACCTCTTCTGCTGGTTTCAGTGTATCAATTAGTGTTCTGAAACAAGTAATGTAAAGGACTAGGAGATTACAATATTTGAAGAGTTACAACATAAAGACGATTTCCATGTGTTACTGATTATTACTATAGTTTTGTGCTTTCGTCTATATTTTCTTCCTTTTTGACTCTTTGAATTTTATGTTATGATTATTTTTGCAACAGCATCTTGATTAACTAAGTTGTTTTGGCAGGCAAGTGCTGGACGAGGTAGAAGTACGAGAGTTGCTTATAGATCATGTTGGCCATCGCTGCTGTTGGGGAAGTCGACCAGCTCGGACCTGGAAGATTCATGCAATTGAAGACTGCAATGTCTATGTGGGGACGCTAGAAACTTTCGCAGAAGAGAGAGATACAATTATAGAGAAGGAGCCATACTCCAGTGGCAGCATTGACGGAAAAGATAAAGGGCCTGAAATGGGAATATGGGAATTGGATTTAAGGTCTGAATTTCCTGTTTTGTTTGTACCTTACAAGGAGTCACGACTGAGAATTCCTCATTCGGAAACTATAGAGAAATGTTCAGGTAATAGACATTGTTTGTGGAATAATCATTTTGCATCGTTAGTAGTGTAAAAAAAATAAACTTCTATGTAGTCTTTACCTTTTTCCCTATCTTGTGGTTCTTGGGTTGAAGTTGGAGTAATTTTCATAATTTTGCTTAACTGTTTCACAGCTTGTGATGGTCGAGGAAATGTAGTTTGTCCTACTTGCAATGCAGATCAAGAGCCAGGGTTTTACAAGGAGGGTCAAATGGCCCAGTGTCCTACTTGCTACGGAAGGGGTCTAATTGCTCACAAGGACGGATCTGACTCAATGTGAGCTTTTGACAGATTGTTAATTGTTGTGGTGCATTTCTTCGTCAAGTTTATTCATTTTTCCTTGATTAAGTATAGATGAAAGACCCGATGATTACTTTTGTACTATTCAGGCATCCAAATTTCATTCTGCGTTCATGGTTTCTGCTGGTACCGTTTTTGGAGACAAGTGCAAATCCTTGAGGTGTCGGACAATTGTAATCGATTTACTAAAAACATCTTTCTTTTGCAGATGCCTGAAGTGTAAAGGTAACGGGAAACTTCCTTGTGTGACATGTGAATCTCGTGGCCTGATCAAATGCCAAACATGCCAAGGTGGTGGTTCTCTTTTGTCACGGAAAGTAGCTGTTGTTAGATGGTAATCCATCTTTACTTTTGATTTATTATACTCAATTTGTCATGCATATTAACAAGGAAATCATGATGTTGTCAACTGAATGATCACGCATTCTGTATTTATTGTGTTGGCTTCATTCTATGCCCTGCGCCACGTCCAAAAAAATAAAACAATTGCCCAACAAAATACCCACATTAACTGACACCCATCACAACTAAAATTTGGATATAATCCCTGTGTGGTTTTGTAATAGTTCTGTCCGATACTGATGGCTCTAAAGCACTTGACTTGTCTAGTTCAACATAAGTATATGCCATGAAGTGTGAAAGACGAGGACTTTGGTCATCATTATAGCAAACAGTATCTTACCCATATGATTTAAGGTATCTTGTAGATTTTGGTACTGATGTAGAGGATTAATATGGTGTGCAAATTTGACATGTTTTCATAGGAGGACACTTTCAACCCGGAAAGTAAACGCTACAAGTGGAGCAGGTTCTGTTCCAGATGACGTGTTTCACCGAGCAAAGGGAGTTCAGTTGTGCAATAACCAAGCTTACCAGTGCACTCCAGCCTACTTTGCTGATTCATATTTTCTTAACAAGTTCTCTTCTGAAGTAATTGCAGAGAGGCCTTCAATACCTACTACTGCAAGGATCATATGCGAGCGCCACACCATCTCTGTTGTCCCGGTGACTCGCGTGACCATGACTGATCGTAATCGCTCCTTCAGTTTCTATATTATTGGAAATGGAAGAGAGGTTTATATGAAAGACTACTATCCTTCTAGGTTTTGTTGGGGCCTTTGTCCTTGCTTGGAATGGTTGAAACTATAATTGAAAGAAGTGAATCTGTTTCTTCATTATTGGGCTGAGTTTTGTCCCAAGAGTGTTATGGGAAGAACAAGTTGGTTTTTGTATAGAATATACTGTATGCTTTCCAAGAATAAAGGGTTTGTGTTCCTAACAATAATATCATAATTGTTTTATTAGTTAAGGGAGTAATTATCCAATCATCTATTTCCAGATCTCTGTAATGTAAAACAATGCATGCCTTTTGGCTTGATTCTTTTTTCCTTAGACAAACAAATTGTATAGACTTCATCAACCACCTTATTTGATCTCTGAAGAAAATAAGCTCAAGTTATTTTTGCAATTTGATCTTCCTTTCTAATAACTTGACTTATCATATGGCGATTTTATGTAGTGTTTTTTGATTCACTTGCAGCATTAATATACAGTTAGGCTGTAACCAAAACTAAGTTTAGGTATCCAGTGGCAATTTGCAGGAACTGATTAATTTAATTATTCTATGTGTAAGATACTGTAACCCAAAGGTTAAGCAAGTTGAGTGAGATTTACTTAACTATAATATGTATTCTTAAAAGGCAAAGCTAACTCTCCTCAGGAAATTTTAATAGGTTAATTCTTTTCATGTATATATATTGAATCCCTTTGATTTCTTAATGTGTTTACTTCTTTATATTTTGACTCTCTTAGTAAAATTTGATTATGCTTTCTTTGAGCCGATGGCCTCTCCAAGTTGAGGGATATGGGTTCACGTGAATCCATGCTTCTCTCCCTAAATCATGTATAATAATGTTATATTTGTTTAAAATTACTTAAATATATGTGCGTGAACCCATGTTCAAAGAGTCTTATAGTGCAATTATTATTGAGTGCACTCTACAAGTAAAATTGGTAGTTCAATGGTCTTGTTTTCGCCATGGTGATAGAATATATGAGTCCACCAAACTATATAGAGACCATGTCCCTTATAGGTTTCCACCGAGAATGCTAATGTAACAGTAAGTAAATGAAACAGGGAAGTTTTACGTGGAAAAATCCCGGCTCAAAGGGATAAAAAATCACGACCTACACTGGTAGGATTTCAACTTCACTATGACCAACTTTAGATTACAATCTATGCAATCTAGGAATTAAACTCTTAATCCCTCCCTAAGTTGTAATACACCTATTACAAGCCACTTTGCAATACACCTATTACAAAGACTTCAACTCATGACTAACTCTAGTGACGACACAAACACTGAAGGTTTATGATTTACAAGGGGTTCCTAAGTAACGCTTCTAGATAAGCAAAGTAGGAATTATAATGAAGAACAATTACAAAGTTACAACTCAACTAAGGACATACATGATACTAGTTGTAGGAACTGGTCCGTAATAGTGTTATACTTTGTTCTTGATGTACTTGAGAATTGAATGCTTGATTGTCAGATGCTTGAATGTTTGAGTGAATTCTCTTGGTGTTGTTTTGTTGTAATATTTAATGTTAATACAACATGGATGACATCACTTGAATGATGTAGTCAATTGGTAGGTCAAATGAGAAGTGACTGCTGAACTATGCTGCACTGTTTTTGTGTACAGTGCAGGCATTCACTGTCCAGCTGTAGACAGTTGACTTCGTACTGCTGTCAGGGAAACACAAGGGTATCAGGTCATGTATTGATTCTCTATCTTCTGAAGTCATGGTGACTCACATTAGCTGGAGTCTGTTGATTTGAGTTGTGTACCAAGTGTTTGAGGTTCCTTATCTGGTTCTTTGACAGTAAGTTTGTTAGATCGTCAAAACATAAAGCTAAGGAACTGTAAACCCATCAATTTTCTCCTTTTTGATGATGACAAACTTAGAAATTGATAACACATGTTTAGAGCAAAATTAACCAGATGAAGTAACAAGAACTTCACAAGTCCCCCTGACTTTATGCTTCCCCCTTAATTAGATCCCTGTTTCCTTTTTTTTTTCAATTATACTTCCCCCTTTTGGCATCATTGAAAAGACACAAGCAAGCAATCAACATAAAGAAGTCTAGCCTAACTAACTCATGCCACATATGTGTGCACAACATGATAGAAAAGAGAAACAGAGAAACATAAGCATTAAACAACAAAAAAGGATAGTTTATAAAACATAAGCCTTTGACATTACAGCAAAGGCAAAATTCGGACTGTTATCATCAGGAGAAGTACAAGGAAATTCCATCCACACCATAAAAGAAAAACAAAAATAACTGCCATAGTCATCAGAAGCAAAAGAGATAATCCAGAAACTAATCACTGAAAGGGTTAGCCTAGGGGAGACTAGAAGGAGAGGGCTTAGAAGCTGCAACAAGAGTGTTGAGAACGAGATCAATTCGGGCATTGGCTGACATTTGCTCTGCGAGCAGTTTCTCCTTCAGGTTCTTCACTTGGTGCCTAAGATTAGCATTTACTTTTGTTAGAAGAGCGATCTCCTCATTTAACCCTGGTTCCCCTTGGGCTTGCTGACTCTCCAGAATGGCATTCCTTGCCTTCAGCTTCCTAATCTCCCCAGTAGCACTATTCTGGGCCTTGATAAGCTGAGAGATTGTTGAAGTGGTTCCTATTCCTCCATCTCTTTCAATACATTCACATTCTTCCAAAGTAGTTTGAGATAAGGTCTTCTTCTTGGTCCATGTCTTGGGCTGTCCCAGAGTCACATCAAAGAACTTGAAGACATGCATGAGAAGGAATCTATAAGGAAGACCATGGTTTCCATCTTTGAAAGTTGCCACCTTTTGCATGTGCTCAATCATGATGGCTAGCAAGTTTACAGTGCGGAACCCATCCAGTGCTTCCATCAAATACAGATCAGACTTGGAAGTAATGGACCTTCTCTCAGCACGAGATAGAAGAACCTTGTTTACCAACTTAAACAATAGCTGATAAACAGGAAGCAAAGCTTTCTTGTGTACCCGTTCCCCCCGATGGACTGCATCTTCCTTTACAATAGAATTCCTGAAATTTGACCCACACATTCTTGACAGAGGACATACCATCAGCATGGACCTTAAGTATGTCCCCAAGCAGAGCAGCATCCAAAACAATATCAACTCCATTGACCAAAGCACAAATATGATCAGTTTCAATAGGAAAGAGGTATGCATAGAAAATTTGGACCTCATCCTCATAGACTTTTGGCACATCCATCTTGAACTGATGTCCCCACTGTTGAAACTCTACCATGTCTATTATTTTCCTCATACCAGCCATTTCAGAGATTTCTAGATCAAAAGTACGACCCCACAGAACCTTTTGATACCTCAGCCTTTCCTTAGCAGTCACACTTTCTCGTTTCACTCTTTTTGCAGAATCAGGTTCCCTCACAGTTTCCAACTTTCCTTTCCCAGAATTCACACTTGATTTGCCCTTTCCACTTGACTTCACTAAGATATCCTCATCAGACAATGACTGTTCACTCACTACTTGTTTCAGCTTATCACCACTTTTCACTGATTTTGAACTTAATGTTGCAACACCTTCCTCTCGTTTCTTTTTCTGAGACCTTTTATCCAAGGAACTTGGTTCCTCTGTTGCTTCCTCATCTACTTCCACTACATGAATGTTTTTGTCACACACAACCTCTTCCTTTTTCACCAGCCTCTTTTTCTTCTTCTTGTAACTCCTTTTACTCTTCTGCAGGACAGACTCAAAAGCCTCATTTGCTTGCAACCTAGTAGTAGGTCGCTTAGGAGAAGGCTCAGGAGTGGTTAATGCCCCCCTCTTGGCAATGAACACATCTAGAGCAACATTATCTTGATCTTCTTCATCACTAGACCTCATAGCAGGAGCCAAAATTTCCAAGGGCTCAACATCAAAGTGAGGAGAAGGAGCAGGGTCGAAACTGACCTGGGAAGAGGATCGTTGACTTGTTTCATCAGGAGAGGGGTCAGATCCTTTAAGAAGGGTCCCAGTAGTTTCTTCTGGTGTAGGGTTTTCAAGGAGAATCACAGTTACTTCTCCACCTAACGACTGAGTCTCTTACCCCTGAGACACAGGCATAGTAGAGATCACCCCATACACTATTCCATCAGCAGATATGGCCAATATGTTTTCTACAACCTCTTTCTCTTGAGATTCTATGGGTGCCACAAACTCTGAAACGGGAACAACTGTAGACTGATCAAACCTAACCTCTGAGACCTTTACTACCTGCGAAACTTTACTCTATTCTCCATCCTTGCTTTGTACAGTAAGAATCTCAGGCGATAGAGATGAAAAGTTGAGTTCTCAACACTTAGAGGGAGAGAGAGGTCTGAGGGGGTGATAGAAGAAATAGAGGGTGAAGGAGAGTCAGGTTTAGGAGTATCCTCTATAGTGGTGGTTGAAAAGGGGATGGTGAGAGGCATTTCACTAGAAATGGAAGAATCAAGGGTTTTCTCAACTAAAGAGGGGATTTTCGGTTGATCTTTAGCCATGGTAGAGAAGAAGTTTGAAAGTTCTAGAGAAGGACTGAAGAGAAGATATGATCGTTCAAAATGATGAGAGGGTTTTAATGGGAGAAGAGACAATTATGAGGGAGAGAGAAACCGATTCTGAAACGACGGTAGTTTTCTGGGGAGATGCAATGTTTCAGAGGGAGGTGAAGGTATTTGAATGAAAAGACGTAACATACAACGTATGAAAAGTTTGATGACATTGTCACACCTCCTTTTTCCGCCCCCGCGGAGGGTGAAAGAGTTTTCTCCAATTAAAGGACAGTCGAAACGAGATTTGTTTATTTATTTCAGAGTCGCCACCTGGGAATTTTATGGCGTCCCAAGTCACCAGTTTTACTCCCGAATCGAGGAGAATATGACTCTGTTTGTCATTTTGCGAACCAGAAAACCGAGTAAGGAATTCTGTTAATTCAGGAGAAGGTGTTAGGCATTCCCGAATTCCGTGGTTCTAGCACGGTCGCTTAACCATTTTTATACTTGGCTTAATTATCTCGATTTACTAAATATATTTTCTTGTTGCATGATTTCGTTACCGCTTTTGTTTAGATTGTTTATAATTATAGGCCTTTCTTGAAACGAATCACGCGTACGTATATTCGTATTATATATCTTTTATAAATGTAAAGAATCGTGTCACGCATACGTGTACACAATAAGATTGATAATATTTTTTATATTTTATTATAAAAATTTGATGTTCGAAATTGTGCTTAAAATAAAATTAAGAACATTCGTCACTCTTGTATGATTAAATAATGAACTGCACATCTCGGGTTATACGAAATTAATTTAATATCCTCCGATGAATCTCCTTTTATTAAAAATTTGGCTCAAAGTTGCGCGAACG